CCTAAATCCTAAACTCCTAAACCCTACACACCGACTCCACCATTCCTGCAACCCCCGGCACACCGTTCGGTTCAGGATGTGAGGTTTAGGGTTCAGGGTTTAAGCTTCAAGATTTGGGGTTTAAGGCTGAATGTTGAAGAGTTCAAGGTTTAGGGCTTTGGATTTAAGGTGTAGGAAGGGTTTTGGGCTCGCGCCTCTGGGGTTTAGGGTTTAGGGTTAAGGACTCAAGCCAGCCCTCTTCGGCTTGAAAGGTTGAACCAACTTGGCGCTGGGGTACGTTACATTACCGCCTAAAACAACGATGAGGAGCCTAAGGCTAGTCGCAGCTCAGAGGCAACCAGCCTTCCTTGAAAAACTCCTTGAACTGCGAAGCAGAGTATGCTTTGCCATCCTCCGCCACCTGTCAGGGCACAGCATTTAGGACGTAGGAGGTTGGAGATCAAGCAGCGTGAGCAGCACAGGATAAATGGAACTTGGGTTTTGCTGCCTTGGAACTTGGGGTTTGCTGCGAGTGTTCTGATGACTACGAGTATGGCAGATTCCGTCGCGGCGTGTCTCGGCTGCACCATTCGTGCCAGTGTGCGTCGTCGCCGTCATGGTCGTCATCCTCGCAGTCGCAGTCGCATTTGGGATAGTAGAAGTCGTCGTCGTAGTTGTGTTCGTCGTCGTCGTCGTCGTAGTAGTAGTGGTAGTAGTAGTAGTAGTAGTAGTAGCAGCAGCAGCAGTAGCAGTAGACGTAGAACTATCGTTGCGTTATTTGTGCTCGTTGAAAACGACAACAAGCATTTATTTCAGGCACAAGGCCTCATGCTGCACTCAATGCACATTATCCACGAGTGAGCGCATCTCGATTGAATCGACAGATGCAGGGTTTTTCCCTTTGTGCTAGGCTACGCAGAGAAGCATGCTCCCTACGGCGCCCCTGATCGCTGAATGCAGCAAGTCAAGGGGTCATGACTGCGAACCTGCGAGCTGCGAATGCTCCATAAGATTTGCCCGATCGGAGACACCCCTCTTATACTTAAGACAAGGCAGTGGTTGCTTAGTGCATGGGCTGCCAGCTGCAGAGTTTAGGGCTCCTGAAGGGTTCATGTTTTCCAGTTTAGGGCAAAAGATTCGGAGCCTAGGCTTCAGAAGTCTACTTCATGGCTTCATTGCTTAAACCCTAAACCCTAAGCCCTAAATCCTAATGCTTTAGGACTTAGGGACCCTAGGCCCCCTCAACTTTAACGAGCAGCCGACCTTCTGTGCCACTGGACTGTTCGTCCACTTCGCGACCCAATCACCGCCAGACTTGTAGTAGTCCGCGAACCTCTCCGATCGGAAGCAAAAGTGCGGGGGCAAGGGTTTAGGGTTTGGGGGCAGTTGCCAAGTCCTGTAAGAACAAATTGTGGGAGTCTTCATGAGCTGCGTACACAGTGCTCCGGCAGTTCCTGATACGCCCGGATCGGAGCACCCTGAACCAAACCCTCGAAAAAAAAGACCCTGAACCCGAACTCCTGATCCCGGAACCCGCAAAACGCAAGGCCTATAGTTGAATGGCAATCTAAGACCTCACAGAGAAAGCACTCCTACATCTGGACAACCACTTTCGTCTGTTCCTCTTGGCTTCAAGTCCCAAAAACCAGAATCCCCGCGAAAATCTGAAAGTCTTCAATGGGCCGAGTGGCTGGGAGGCCGTGTAGTATCTGCCATCGTCCGCATAGCGATACGCTTGCATGTCGAAGGAGGCCCGAATTGCCTGGAGTCGCTGCCCACGATAAACCCTTAACCCTAAACCTTAAACCCTAAACCCTAAACCTTAAACCTTGAACCCTAAACCCTAAACCTTAAACCCTAAACCCTAAACCTTAAACTTTAAACCCTAGCTAAATCTTAAACCCTAAACCCTAAGGTCGGGCTTTAGGCACTGAAACTCATGCGGGCTGCCAGGCTTCAGGGCCCAGGGATCTCTAGGGCTTGCAACGTGATATCTGGGCGTTTTTAGTGCGTGAACGCCTGGTTGCACTGCTTTGGGTTTCGGTGATTAGGGCCTGGCGGCTAAGGGTTTAGGGCCCTAAACCCTAAACCCTAAACCCTGTTTGAGGTGTAGATTCTGGGCTTTAAAGCCGACCTGACTCCTAGACCAGACGTTTCTCAGCTCTGTTAGGGCCTAAATAAACATCCCTAAACCCTCAACTCCTAAAACCCCCTAAACCCCAAACCCAAAACCCTAAAACCTAAACCCTAAGCCCTGAAACCTGAACACTAGACCCTAAAACCTAAACCCTAAGCCCTGAAACCTGAACACTCAACCCTAAAACCCAAACCCAAAGCTCTGGACCTTCAGCTGGGAGTTGTGGCCCGCATTGGAAGCTCGCGAGGCTTGGCAAGTAGGGCCAAAAAAAGCTCCACAGAAACACGGAACCCCCACGTGGAGCTTCCGCGAGGTTTAGGGCTTAGGGCTTAGGGTTTAGGGTTTAGGGTTTGGGGTTTTGGGGTTTAGGCTATGTCCACACAGACCCCATTGAAGGAACCCAAGAGGAAAAAAAGCTACGTCCCTTGACCGGCAGACTGGTAGGGCAACCTGAGCCCTTACATCGGCACGGTTTAGGGTTTAGGCTGGAGCGTTTAGGATTTAGGATTTAGGGTTTAGGGTTTAGGGTTTAGGGTTTAGGGCCCAGGAACCTCCTCCGCAGCCGTCTTCTTGTCATGATTGGCCTGGTACGCACTCTTGAACTTGTCCTGGGCTGCGGGCTTGCAAGAAGGAACCGACCTCCTGCTTGTGGGCTTCGGGGTGTAGAGTAGAAGCAAGGAGGTGTTGGGCGTTCTTGTCACCATGAGCTTGAAGTAACTTCTAGAGAACCCCAGCGCTCATCATCCGTAACCCCTATCCCGACGTTTTAGCCTTTGCCGTGTGGGTAGTTCTCTAAATTAGTTTCCCTGTTTCGGTCCCCCAATATAGTACGGCACCCTTATAAAAAGGACCCTAAAAGGGACCCGACTTTAGAGAACTACCCGTGTGGTTCATGAGTGTCGGATTCCGTGGACCCCCATCCCTCACGAAAACTCTGCAATAAACAAAGCCACGTCCGTGGAAAACCTCTACGGCATCCTTCCAACTCCTGAAGCTACAGCCTAAAGCCCCTAAGCCCTAAACTTAAATCCCCTAAACCCCTAAACCCTAAACTCCTAAACCCAATAGACGTTAAATCCCCTATATCCCCTAAACCCTAAACTACTAAACCCCCTCAACCCTAAACCCTAAACCCTCAACTCCTAAACCCCCTAAACCCCCTAATCATTCTAAACCCTAAACTCCTAAACCCCCTAAACCCTTAACCCTTAAACCCCCCAAACCCTAAGCCCTAAACTCCTAGACCCCTACACCCTAACCTGTAACCTAAACCCCTAAACCCCCCAAACCCTAAAACACTACACCCCCTAAACCCTGAACACCTAAACCCCCTAACCCCAAAACCCCTGAGCACCCTGAACCCCCTAACTCTAAACCCCTGAACCCCCTGAACCCTAAACCCTAAACTCCTAAAGCCCCTAAACCCTAAACCTTCAACTCCTAAACCCCCTAAACCCTAAACCCCCTTAGACCCCCTAAACCCTAAACCCTCACCTCCTAAACCCCCTGAACCCCTAGACCCAAAGCCCTGAACTCCCTAAACTCAAACACCCAGCAGTCTCTGATCACCCCCTTGAAGTTCATTGATGTTTAGGCTTTAGGGTTTTGGGCTTTAGGGTTCGGGGTTTTAGGGTCTGGGAGTTTAGGGTTTTGAAGTTTAGGGTTTTGGGATTTTGGGTTTAGGGCCGTTTAGGCATCTTCTAAACCCTAAACCCTAAACCCTAAACCCTAAACCCTAAACCCTAAACCATTCTCTGCACTTCTGGGAGTAAGTGGCAGGTTCACAGCCCGCGGCAGCCGACTCCATTGCAAGCCCTTGGGCCTCCTGGGGCTCGGGTTTAGGGTTTAGGGTTTAGGGTTTAGGGCTTAGGGTTTAGGGTTCAGGGTTTAGGGCTTAGGCTTTAGGGTTTAGGGTTTAGGGGGGGTCCTTCAAAGGGTTACTGCACAAGTTACTGGTCTGCTGGTATATCGCAGTACCGCACCTGAACCTTGCCGTCCCGATGCGAACCGCACAGCAAAGTACGCCGTACCGAAAACAACCGAACCACAAGCGCCGCTCCCCTACTCCGAGGCGGGCTGGAGGGGTGGATGTACTACAGCACCCCCCCCCTAGACTAAACCCCTTAACCCCAAACCCTAAAACCTTAAACCCTAAGCCCTACAATTACAAACCCTAGACGCCCTAGACCCTAAAAACCTTAAACTCTAAACTCTAGACCATGATAAACACAAATGCTGGCCACTAAAAAAAAAAAGGCTGGTGCCTTCGGACTTTTCACCAGCCAACTCAGCCAGCTTGCGCCGGCCGTCATCTCCTGGTTTTTGTTAGGGGACTTAGTTTAAGTTTGCCATAATCAGGAAACCATGTTGTTTACCATAGATCCCTATTATGGTAACTCAAATTACATCCTTATTTGCTATAGATCCCTATTATGGTAGCAAAAATTAAATCCTGAACAAGAACCCAGTCTCTGTGTAGAGGTCGCTGAGCTGTGTGGGGGATGCATCCTTCTCGAGAAGCTCTGGAGCTCTCGAACGGGCCTCCTCGCATCTCTCACCACGGTTGAGGGTTTTAGGTCTAGGGGTTTATGGGTTTGGGGGTTTGCGGTTTGGGTTTAGGGGTTTAGGGGTTTAGGGGTTAGGGTTTTTTTTTTAAGGGTTTCTGGTTCACATCTGAAATCAAACACCCAACCAAACCAGAAACTTCCTCAAAAAAAATTACCCTACTCCCCAACAACATCGCATTCCCGAGCCAAGACCTTCAAGAATGGGTTTAGACACGACGGTCTAAAATGCGTCCCTGGGTTTTAGGCTTTAGGGTTCCTCCACGCTGAGACGGAGCTTGTCTCTGAGAACGGTGTACATTGCGATGAGCTGGTCTGGGTCAAGCTGCTTCTTGGCGTACTCAAACCTGGCTTATAGATTTTGCTGCATCGGAATCATGAGAGGATACCCGAAACCCTAAACCTTAAACCCGAATGCTACCCTCGGCCCCTCGACCCGACCCCCCCCCCCAAACAAAAAAACAAAAAACGCAAAATCTTCGTTCGTCCATGCTTCTTGCAACGGGTGGAGGGATGTGGCTTCCTTTAGGATGGTGGCATCAAAATCGTTCAGTGCTTAAGGTCTAGATCAGAAAATAGGGTTTAGGGTTTGGGGGTGAGGGTTTAGGGTTTGGGGGTCTAGGGTTTAGGGTTTAGGGTTGAGGGTGTAGGGTTTATAGGGAGCGGTTTAGGGTTTCCATTTATATACAAGTGGGGTTAAGGAAAGCTTTGGTGTAGGGATGTGCGGCGCCAAGGGCTGCTTGGAGGCTGCTCTCAATTTACGACCGCCGTGCCAGATGACGGGCCCTTTCCAAGGGTTTAGGGTTTAGGGTTAACTATGGGTTTAGGGGGTATCCGACATACTCATGAATCTACGGTAACTGTAATATGGTGGCCAAGACCTGCGCATGATCTAGATCAAGCCCCGCATTGGTGCATGTTGTATATTACGCTTCCGGAGGCTGTAAGCTTTTACTGTAGAAGCCCGGCATTCCTCTAACATGAGCTCAACTCATGAACAAGCTCCAGCAAGAAACGCCAGTGGAAGCGCTGCACCCTTGTCGAAGTTCATCGTGTTGCTGAGCACCCCGTGCAACCGCTGGAGATATCCCAGCGAGGCACCACAGGTCCTTTGATCTTACATTGAACTCCTGTAACCACAAAGTGGCCTTTATTAGGGATCTATGCTCTTCTTAGCTGGCAGCTTATCACAAACTCCCTAATAATTAGGAGCCCAGGGGCTCCATGTACCACAACTCCTTCTTTGCCCACCACGGAGGGATGCTGAGCTGCAGGCTCGTGAGCCAAAACTCAAGATCCTTTTCTGGATCGCGAGCTTCTGAAATCAAGGCTTCCATGGCGAAGCTGTCATCCTCCGCACTCTCCAAGGACACTGGAACGAAGTCTAGCTTCGACTCTCTAGTTGCTAGAAATAACAATAATAATCATAATAATAATAATAATAAAATTATATATATATATATGTATACTAAGGAGCCCGGTCCTTGTTCCGGCGTGCCGATGCTGGGAGCATCAGCATCAACACGGCCACTGCGAATGTCGAAGGCGCCATGGCAGGATCGACGAGCAAGGTGTGCTTGGAAAGAGAACACGAGAGCTAAGCCGAAGTGGCTTGAGTCGAAAGCTGCTGCTGTCGCTGTTTAGTTCCAGATACCTTCCTCATAACCTCCTAGTCATGTATACAATAAACTCCACTTCACTCTACCATCCTATCCTGTCCTATCATATCTTCTACTGTCCTACACCATACCATAACACATGTACCAGCCAGTATCGGCGGCAGCCGTAGCGCTAGAATGACCTTCCTGGTGAACCACCGTCAGCTACCCCCACCCACCCACCCACCCACCCACACACACACACACACTTACACTTACTTACTTACTTACTTACTTACTTACTTGCTTACTTACTTACTTAACCCTGGATGACCTACACTCTCCCCTAAACCCTAAACCCTAAACCTCTAAACCCTAAACCCTAAACTCCTAAACCCTGGGAAGGCATCCTGGGGTCGAGGCAAACCCTAAACCCTGCGGCTTTCCGAGGTGCTGATCCTTTCTTGCCCAAGGAGCCCTAGCCCTACTAGCCCTAGCCGCCCAAAAGCCCTAAGCCGCAAACCCTGAACCTTAAGCTCTAAAGCCCAAAAGCGCGAAGAAGTGACTGTGGCCCTAAACCCTAAACCCCTAAAATTTAGGGTTTAGGGCTTTTAGGGCTTTTAGGGCTTTTAGGGCTTTTAGGGCTTTTAGGGCTTTTAGGGCTTTTAGGGCTTAGGGCTTTTTTAGGGTTTAGGGTTTAGGGCTTAGGGCTTTTTAGGGTTTAGGGTTTAGGGTTAAACCGGTAAAACCCTAAACCCTAAAAGTGGCCCAGCTGCCGCTTCAGAGGCCTAAAGAATCTCTAAACAGGTAGTTCCCTGAAGTAGGGTTTAGGGTTTAGGTTTAGGCTTAAGGGCTAAGGGTTTAGGGTTAACGGTTTAGGGGTCTAGGGTTTAGGGGTTTAGGGGTTCTCTGAATTAAGGTCCCGCTTTAGGTCCCCAAAATAGTATGGCACCCATATAAAAAAGGCCCTAAAAGGGAACCTAGTTTAGAGAACTACCCAAATATTGAACCTTACGGGTTGCAGGGGTTCGGGGGTCAAACCCTAACCCTAAACCGACACCATGGACCCCTAAATCCTAAAACCTAAACTGACACCACGGACCGGACGGAATTCTTCACCGGCTCTCGTGACCTCAGCATGGCTTGGTCAGGTGTGGCACTCGCTGCAGAGTGCCACCGGTGCCTTGGCCCACTTCCTGGGTTTAGGGTTCACGGTTTCGGGCATGTCCAAGGATTTCCTAAGAACTTGACTCCAAGCAGAAGTGCTTTTGATGATGGGTTCAGGTCCATGCTTCGAGGTTTGGGGGAGTTGGGGATGGGGAGTTCAGGGTTAAGCCCTGGCAGGCCCTAGCTTCGGGCTTGAGAGGGCGAGGTGAAAGAACCAAGCATCTGCTGCCACTCGGACTTGAAGTAGCTCACAAACTCGTCCAAAGTGTAGACCGTTCCATCCTCCGCAATGCGCCTTTGCGTTGCCCACTTTGCTGCATTCCACTTGGTCCTTGGCTGGCATGGCCCTGCAAGAGACACTAAGACTGTCGGAGCGGCTTGACGCACATGAATGCGGCTAAAAGTGGGGTATTTAGATGCTGTGGACTAGATGGACACGCGTTAGACTTGCAAAACCGTAGTCGTGGATGCGAACCGGTTTATGGCAGGCCGCTACGAAACCCCTGAAAACTATCAAAAAACTATAGGGCTTAGGGTCTTGGTGGCTTAGGGAATGCTTCAGAAAGGGTGAATGTAGGTGGTGTACACTGAATCCGAGACCGCCACCAAAACTCGCAAAATATTTGGTCTTGGGTTTGGGCTTTGGCATTCCTAAACTCCTAAACCTCTTTCAGATCGGATTAGCTTGGCGCCTAGCTCGACAGGAAGTATCAACCTTAAGCCCCAAAGGGCTTTTGTCGCAGAACGGCGCTGCAAGTTGGGCTGTGCCAATAGCCGATGGGGTTACCGAAAAACAGGCTGAGGCAGATGAAGGCGAAACAAGATGGTGCAAATCACAACTCTCGAATCTGCGAAATATAACTCTTGCATGATTCGACAGCGAATTATGGCCTTGCTGATGCCAACTATGCCAACTGCCTTTTGGCGGCGTTGCTAGCAAAATGAGACCCCGCGAAAATTCGCCCACAGCTCTCAACTTGAAATGCCCCCAGCACTGTTTCGGCGGCGGCACACCGACTGGACCACACGACCGACCGAAATGCACTCAAGAAACGTAAAAACTCAATCTTCCCAGCTCAGAGGCAACCAACCGAACTTGAAGAACTCATGGAACTGCGAAGCAGAGTACGCCCTGCCATCTTCCGCCACCTTGCAGGGGAGCTTCTGATGACTGCGACTATGCCAACTTCTGCGTCCAGTATTTCTCGGTTGTACTTTAAAGCGATGTTTACTTGTTGTTGGCCACATATGACGGATACGGGAGTACGCAAAGTATCGTTCTCACTATCAAACGAAGGAGTAGTGGCAGTAGTAGTGGCAGAGGCATCTAGTTAAAACAGGTACTAAACTGCATTCAGTGCACCGTATCGAAGGGTGTGTGCGTCTAGATCGAGAAAACAGATGGGCGATTCTTCCACCGTCTACAAACTACATGTTCGTGCACTGTTCCGATATCGTGGGCATCGAATCAATGGAGCACATGCGAACAGCCAACACTTCAAACTGTTCGTGCGTTGTTCCGTGGAGCCTGCGCTAAGGCGTGGCATACGAGCTGAAGCTCCCTTTGCAATAATCCTTGCACAATGTTGTGCAATGCTTGCACAAAGACTGGAAACACGTTCTCCACTGCGCAGCGTTCCGGCGCCCTTTGATCTTTGAACCCAGCAAGTTCGTTGGCACGAGTTTGCGGTAGTTCGTAATGTAGACGAACTACAAGTGTTTCAGAATTCATGCTCGATCAAAGTCGCGGCTCTTATGCTTAACCCTCATCCCTAGACCCTAAAATTCCTAAATAAAAGCCCTAAAAACCCTGAAAACCCTAAAACCCCTACAAACCTTAAAAGCCCTACAAACCCGCAAAACTCTCTAAAGCCCCAAATCAAAACCACTTAAACCGTCAAAAGCCTCAATCCTGATCCTTTAGGGCTGAGGGTTTAGGGCTTAGGGTTCAAGGTTTAGGGTTTAGCGTTTAGAGCTCAGGATTCAGGGTTTGGAAGTTTGGGGATTAGGGTTTAGGGTTCAGGGCTTAGAAGTTTGGGGGTTAGGGTTTAGAGTTTCTAGGGCTTAGCGCTTAGGGTTCAGGG